TAGCTATGAAGTGAACGGCCAATTTATCTGGGGGATTGTTGGGCTGGACACTCGCTTGTCTCTCTACCCCCTCCTCGCTCCCTCCCTTTCCTCCCCTCACCCTGACCATTTCCCCCCTGCTTGGGTCCTGACCCAACTATCCAGCGCCTTGGGACGTCCTCCCGACGTGAAATGCGCTCTATAAATGAAATCTTGTTGTTGTTGTTTTAGGATAGCGCAATGGGACTTGAGTTTATATTTCACCCCCAGCACCAGTCCCAAGTCCAACCTGCGTGGGGTTTGAACCCACAACCATTTGACTCTGAGGCGAGAGTGATACGCACTAAGCCAGCCTGACACCTAATGCTTATTCTGATGATGGCTTTGCTCATCTTAATATCTGATCCAGTTGATGTTGAGGACGAGAGTGTGGTGGTGGTGGGGGGGGGGGGGGGGGAGTTAGGGAAGAAAAACTTCAAATCCCAGGATGCAGTGTACATACATATGTTTCCAGGATAAAGGAATCCACTTCCTCAAAACCTTGAGCCAAGAAGCACTTTAATGAGATGCAGCCACACACCAGCAATGTACAGTCAGTATGTGTGATAGGGCCAGGCTGTCTGCACTTACACACAGCCCACCCCTGCTGCTTCTATCAAAGTGATTCCAACCAGATGAAGAAACTACGAGGCACTTTTATGCTTGATCTTTCCGGTCACGTTCCAGTAGTTTCTGATGGGCGAAGATGTCAAGCCACCCTCCTCCTCCCCCATGCTCTCCTTCCCAACTTGCTTGATGATCCCCAGTGTCCCTGCCAAACACTTCAAGGTTTTTTTTCCTATGTGTATAAGTGCAAGTTGGTATGTGAGCCAATGCATGCATAATTCTTTTCCCAAACTAAGCTCCAGTGCACATGTAAATTTCTGTTGCTTTCTAAGAGCAGCTAATGTGTTCCTGCGTCCTGTTAGAACGTGCTCGTGTTCCTGGCAGAGCTCCCACAGGTCCTGTTTCCTTTTATGGTAGCAAGTCGATGGGGGGGGGATTGAGCCCAGCTGTAAACAGCCAGTTAGACACAAGTGTGGACTGTTCAGCTCCAAGTAAGGTTGCATTACATCAGCGCACATCCTTGGCCTGCCATATTCTGCCAGTTAAAATTTAACAGAAATTTCAACAATTGCACAAATGTTTCAGCGATAAACAGACTGTGAAGCATTAAACTGGAAAGGCCGGGATCTGTACAGGTCACCCACGCCAACTGCTTGGCTGTGTCCAGTGACCAGGGGAGAATCGAAACCTTACTGATTGAATATGGCGTGTGGAAATCTCATGTGTGTCTGTGCGTGTGTTTGTGTGCGTATCTGTATGTGAAGGCGTGTGTGTGCATGTTTTTTACGAGAATTCTTTTTAAAAAAAGATGAAAATCACTCCCCTAGTTTGCATTTGCAGTTTTGGTGTAAATATTATAAATGTTTTGTGAACAAAATACACGGTCAATCCACTTGACAGTCCATTCTGTAAAGCGCTTTGATATGTCTCAAATGCAAGGATTATTACTCTAGCATCTCTCAGTGATTTCACCAGCCAGTACAGGCCAGGAAGGTGTCTGAGGGATTTGATCCCTGGCTAGCGCTGTGTTTATCCTTTATTGCCCAGTGCGTTGTAGTGATTTTTGCCTATCGGCAAACCAAGCATTTGGACGAACAGACATCCCACAAACAGGGGTGAAGTGAACAAATATTTTATCCGGAGCATTGTTGGCCAAGGCACTGGGCCGGTACAGAAATAGTATGGGGAGAGTTTTAGCCATAAGTGAAAGATCGGCTAAAATAGTGACCGAAAATGGGCATGTTTGTCTGAAGCGGATCTGATGTTATCTGAGTTGATCTCTTGTAGCCTTGACAGTATTTCATTTTGCAGATTAATTAATCCAGTTTCTTCAACAAGCACAGCCTCCGCCAAACAGCTATACAACTCAATGTGTTGTTTCGAAAGCCAACTATCCGGGACTGCTTTTCTGCCTGGGACCAAATCAACAAGTTCCCAAGGTTAGATTGCGAAAGAAAGTTTATGTTTGAAAAATGTCCAGTCAAATGGCAGGCAAACTGCTCACAGGAACCGTAGCTTCTGGAGTATGAAGCTTCTCCTCTTGTCTTTCTACACAAATGGACGATGTAAGATTCTGTGAACACTTCAGAACAAGACGGGAGTTTCTATCTGATGTCCTGGTCAACAACAATAATAATAATGATAATCATAATAATCCTTATATTTAATATAGCGCCTTATCATGTCATTGAGATGTCTCAAAGCCCTTTACGGAATATACTGTAGAGTGAAGTGACTGTATATTGTGTGGGTAAACGTAGCCTTCAAATTAATTGCTTATTTATTACATGATTGTTTGTGAGACTTCATTGGTGAAAAATAGCTGTCATATTTGCTTCCAGTGATTGCTCCTTACAGCCGTAAACTGTGAAGCGCTTCAAGATGTTTTGGGGTGGCAAGGTGCTATAAAGGTGCAAGGTCTTTCTGTCTAAATGTTGACGTTTGTCTGCTTGCCCTCGGCTCCTCTCACCCTTGCATTTGCAAATCACCACCTCAGAATAATTTTTCTCAAGTGTTTTAAAAACTACTGTAGCTAAGGGTTGCTTTAAGATCTTGGATTCGATTCCCGGCAGAGCGAAACATTGGGCAAGTTTCCTTATTCCACACGCCTCTGTTTACCTAGCAGTAAATAGGAACCCGGTTGATAGTTGATTGGCGGATCGCTTTTCCGGGGATAATGAGTCCTTAAAAAAAATTGTTCACTTCAATTCATGATTGTTTGTGGGGACACTGCTGTGCGCAATTGGCTGCCGTGTTTCGCCCACAAAAACACAGTCAATTCACTTTACAGTGTATTCTGTGAAGTGCTTTGAGACGTCTCAACGGCGTGATAAGGCCCTGTATCAAATGCAAAGATTATTATTATAATTAAGTCTAGCCCTGGGTAGGATTTCATCCTCATATTTGTGTCAGGCTCTTTTCCTGTGAACATTTCTGCTTTTACATCCACCACACTAGGTGGCAGATTACTCCAGCCAACAGCAGAACCTCTGTGAAAAGATTGACCAGAATTTGTTTGAGAATCCATACTTTATTAAATATTGCCCTCGTTGAGCTGTGCCTAAAGAGTTTTAATTCAATCTGGTTGTGTGATCATTTCAGATCCTCTCTCTGTATCATCTTTATATTCACAAGGACTCGAGTTTGGCAAGAGATTTCGGGCGGGGTGTGGGGGGAGGCGTTTAACAATTTGGCTTCGGAGCGGGTGACTCACGGTGGGTGGTCTGGTCCTCATCGCTGCCACGCGGCCATGGCAGAACACGGCAACCAAATTGTCAGCAGCCTTTTCTTCTTCCTCAAACCGAAGCTATTTGAACCTCAGCCGTTGAGAGTAAATCTTCCAGATGCAGTCGGCCCCGGCTCAGGGTAACCTTGACAACGTCATTGAATCTGTTTGAAACCGGGTTGGGGGACATTTTTGAAGAAAGGACTGAAGTATCAGTTTGATTCTATTACTGTGCGGTGTTTAATAGCTTTTATATTTACAAAACCTGCGGATTCTTCAACATTAGAATGTCCGATTAAGTGCGTTCCCGGGATATTTGTTACTTTTTTTCACATTGTTATTGACGGTGTTTTGGTTAACTCCTGGCGGAGAGATTTGAAATAGTGAAAGAGGGTTTTCACCTGGGTGCAGGGAGATTGAATTCTTCCTGGGGAGTGGGGTGGGGGTGGGAAGCAACTGTTGGAAGTTTTACAGTGGTGACGTCGGCAGATTGGGAGACCAGCTAGAGAATGAGACGCGTCTCTATTGATGGATGACGCTCAGAGGAAATTGTAGACAAACCAAGCGCCCTAAGCTTTCTACGTGCCCTGTTCATTCCTCAGATCCTTGGGCTGATTTTGTTTGCCTAGCATTCTTACCACCTTATAATGCAAAGACTTTATGTGCCATAAAAACAACCCGCTCAGGCTGATAAGATCTTGGATCTATTTATTTTCTCTCTCCTCTCTCTGGTCTTTTTAATTTTAGATTGTGTGTTGAGCCAATTCAAAATGTCTAATAAAAATAAGGTAAAACATTACTGAAGCCAGCCAGACCCCCTACTCCTGAGGCTTCCTGAAAGCACTTTATTGGGTTTGAATGCTGACCGCTGCCAAATCTCCACAAACTAAATTGTGTAATAACTGGTGACAGTTGGGAATCATTTTAAGATTGATGATGCGATTTTAAAACAACAAAACTCCCCCGATTTCTATCTGTTGCAATATCCCTCTTTGCCTTTCTCTTCACGGTAAGTCCAACGAGTACATTTATCTTTCTGTTCCTGGCTGTGAGAACGGAGCTGGACTGTGTCATAGCCATGGCTTTCCCATTTTTGCCAGCCATTGCCTTTGCTCCAGAGTCACAGCAGATGGATTCACAGAGCAGTTAGATACACAGCTCTAGCTGGACACTGCCTGTCCCACACATTGTTAACCTTTACATGTGGCCGTTTGATCAGAGTGGGATGGGGAGCGACGATGAATCTCTCCAGTTCAGACTTGTACATAACAATAATAATCCTTGCATTTAATATTGCACCTCACCACATTGTTAGGACGTCTCAAAGTGCTTCGCAGAAATACTGTAAAGTGAATGGGGAGCGGGGGGATCCTTTAGATAGAAATCAGGAGCAGGATCCCTGACTGCCTTCACCTTCCAAGGTGAGGTCAACAGTAACACTGCAGTTAACATTTGTTTGCTTCACTGAGGCGAGGATTTGAACCTGTGACTTTCTAGTCTCTCAGACCTAGTGATGATGGAACAGGGATGCTTTTACCCACCAGCATTGGGAGAGCTTGCCTTTCAAACTTAACGACGCCAAGCTGGAGGGGGAGGTGACCAGTCGAAGAGGAAGGTCCTCGGGCGCGACCTGAAGGTGGGGTTGAAAGGTGGAGGGATTGAGGGAGAGAGTTCCAGAGTTTCAGGGCATAGTGACTGGAAGCTAATTGTTGGCGTCAATGTGGTAAAATGCCTGACCATTCTCCGCTGACAAGGACAGAGGCCACAGTTTGAGTGATGCAGTCTGCAATTTCCTAAGATTTCTAGATAGATAATTTGATTTCTGGTAGTTAAGCTACAGGGTAAAAAAAAGCCTCTCTTGTGTGGAGTTGATCTCATTACTGGGCCTGGATGATGCTCATCACAGTTCGGACGGATCTGGAGAGGAAATGGCCCAGATTAGAGGATGGGCAGATGGCGTTATCAAACCAGCTCTGTAGAGAAAAAAAGTAGTGCGTTTAACAAGGTCTTGCAATCAAACTGCAGAGACAAATAGAGGGAGGGAAGGAGTGATTCACTGAAAAGGTTATTAATATTTCAGACGATTCACAATGCTCGGGCAAGATGAAGGTGAATTGGGCTGAATGCAATGGGTTGTGGAGCACTTTGTTGCAAAGGTAGGATGTCATTTGCCCTTTAGTACTGTGAGGCATTGAATAGATAGATCATCTAAATCATTGTTCCCATTTGATGTAACAATTGTGTGCGGATGGACCTCATCTGTGAGGTCAGTAACAGTGAAGCTTGAAAACCTCGAGAATTGTTTTTTTCCCATTTTCCTAAGGAAAATCAAAGCATTTTTCTAGTTAAATGCAACTATTTTGTGCTGTGAAATTTTCTGTTTCTTTATGGTTTTGGACAATTCTTCCAAAAGAAACCTTGGGAATAAAAAGTGAATACGATCACATTTTTTTTAAGACATAGCAAAAATTTTATTTGATCTTGAGTAGAAGGGGGAGAGGAAAGTAGTGGAAATCGAACTTGATCCATTGTATATACTTAATATTTCTTTGTGTGCTGCTTAATACTGTACAGCTGTATGGACTACATTTCCACTGAATAAAACTAGTGAGGACAAAGCCGGCAGTGTTCACTGCTGTAGAATGGCGTATTGAACTGTCTTTGATGCTGTTAAGAATTGGCATAAACCCAGGGCTAGGAAGAAGTTACAAGATATTGGTCCTCCTGATTCTAACTCTGATGTGATTGCTGCTTCTATAGAATGTAAATGTCGCTCTGTGATCGAGTTCAGTTCACAGCTTTTTTTAAATTTATAAAGTTAATGTTTCTTAAAATATGATAACCCAAGAATAAGTCAACGGTGGTATCAATCTCTGAACACTTTGAGACCCTCGTCCTTTGTGAAATGAGCCATATACGTCTCGCTTGGCCTTATTTTCTTATGATATCGTTTGGGAACACGATGGTTTTGAGAAATATTTCCACAGTCTTTCTTGGCACTGGACCAACAAAGTATTGGACTTTCAAGAGTGTTAGAGTTCACATTCCAGCTTCGATGGGCATCTGTACAGGGATGTCAGTTTGAAGGGGGTGACTACTGGGTCTTCAGGGATAGGGAAGGAGAGGCGTGGGGAGGAGTTCCAATCCCACATTGGTGCTAGAGCATCTTCTGATGGGACGACAGGGAGAGACATCCAGGGCAACATCTCAGCACTGCCCAGCTCTGGTCATCGGAAACGTGGCGATGGGGGGAGCAGAATCGCAGAAAGAACAAAAATAAAACAGAAATATCTCTTTTCTTGAATGGAATACTGGGCACATTTGTCTGTTCATTTCATCCCTCTCTCAACATGATGTCAAGTGTAGAAAAGATCTCCCCCTCCTTGAACAAGGCATCTATATGGGAACCAAATTGAATTCTAGCGTGCTGACTGATGGTTGTATGTTTAATGGTAAATTGGCTCACAAATGTATATTGTTTGTTGAAGCTGTGCTAATGCAGTGATGGCAGGATTGAGAAGTGCGTTTTGCAGCACAATATTAGTGACAGGATATCTGATTTGCAAATGTTTGGCTCTGAGTCAGGAGTTAATGGAATGACTGTAATGTTCCTTTTATTAAAGAGCTTCCTGGAGAGTCTAATGGAATATCATACTTGTGATGGCATTTAGCACCTCTCTAGTGAATGTGTGCTGGCTGGTAGCGTATTTGGGGGCCGGCATAGAAACCTTACAAGTGCATGCCTTGGACTTCTACAGACCACCCCCCCCCACACACTTTCACAAATATGCACGTTGACAGGTGGTTTAAGGTATCTGTGGGCTTCCCCAAGTGAAAAGAGATGAGGGGAAGATTGAAAGACTTGTTTTCACACAGGGGTTGCTGTAACATGGAAAGGCTTGCCAGGAATGGCTGTTATGCAACAGCAGAGCTGATTTAAGGGGTGGGTGGGGAGAGCAGGGGACAATCAAAAGAGAATCAGATGCGCACATGCAGGTGGAGGGAAGTGTATTAGAGGCTATCACAAGTATATGGTATTTTCTCTGGCAAAGGTATTGAATGGGCTTTGCAAATGTCCACGCTGAATGAACAGATGTCCAGATATGGGTTCGTGAGGGTAACAGGATTAGCCCACAAATTACAAGTCCTGCATACTTGAGAGTTAACAGAAAAAAACAGTGTCTTTATCACCTGATAATTCAGATTTCAGGACAACGGTCATTTGAAGAGATAATAGGTATCAACTTTGCTTGGGTGTAAAGCAAGCACCACAACTTCCCAAAGAGCAAGAGAGAGAGACGGGCTTGGAGTAGGAAAGATTTGATATTATCTAAAGGACCTGGGCAGCAAAGAGTTTCAGTCTTTCTCAAGGAAAGTTTCAGTGTTGGTCAACGTTAAACAGAGAAATGGAGAGAGGTTCTTTGGCAAGATCATTCTGATCAGAGCTGGAGGCGAAACGTGTATCTGACCTTTCCTTCTAGTCTTGCCCTTCTTTCTCAATATAAAAACATTTCTTTTTTCCCCAACAGGGAAACTATTAGAAAATACACCCACAATAACATCAGTGTAAATAGATGTTTTAAACTTTCCTTTGCTCCTATGCTTTTTGCTATGATTATTGTTTTGCATATTTTGCATGTGAGCTGTCGGGTTTCTGATTGTTTAAAACCACAGTCGAGCCACACAGCAGACAATATGGTCGTGAATGCGCTGTGTATTAACTATGTTTTAACCTTGAAACCAGTTGTATTGCTTCAATTATTGTGCTCTATGTGTCTGTGGTTGCTTTTCATTTTGATATTGCCTTTCCTCACAAGCCTTGCAAGTCACTCACACATCAATTCTATGCAGTTGTTAAATCCGTTCATTTTCTCCCCCCCACCCCATTTCCTCTCCCATTCCTACTCTATTGCATGAACTACTGAATTGCATCAAAAGCTAAAACACCAGTTAGTCTCACCAGGTTTAGCAAGAAATAACTGAGCAAAGAATGAGGCCAAAAGTCTTGCATGAACCCTTTCTTTTCTGTTTGAATTGGTTTATTGTGATCTGTAACTTTATTTAATTTTATTTCCGTAACAAAAATGTGTGATTTACTCACCGTATGAGTGATATCCTCATTCAGTACTCTCTCACATTGCCTTGTTAACTATTCGGAAGTTCTTTTGTGAAATTGTTCTTTTTTACCCACAAACAGAAGGAGCTCAAACATTTTAATGGGTTCTTTTCTTGGCTTCTCTTTGTGCTTGTCGAGTAAATGGAAATGTTGCTTGTGTCTTTCACAGTATCGGAGTTGCAGGAAGAAGGGAAAAATGCTATCAACTTGCCTCTCAGTCCTATAGCCATTGAGTTGGATCGCGAAGACACCATGCTGGGTAAGTGACCCTCTTAAACATGAAGGATTCATTACTAAAATACATCCCTTAGCAATCGATTCCTCGCTCAGTCACTGTGTGATGTATTTTACTTACAGAGGAAAATGAAGTTCGAACAATGCTTGATCCAAATTCAAAAAATGATCCCAAGTTACAAGAACTGATAAAGGTAAGAATAATTCTCTATGGCTTTTCTATATAGAATTAGTTTTGAAAATTATATGTTTTTTTAAAAATGAATCAATATTTCAAGCATTCAAGCTTTCCATTCAATTTAAATCCTGGTTGATAGGAAGTTGTCAGCTTAAGAACGGAGAGGAACGTTTGAGGGATATTGCTGTTCCCAACTGGCTGTCATGTTTGCTCACAGTCGTTCCACTTTGTCCTGTGAAGTGCTTTGATATGTCTCGATACGTGAAAGGATTATCATTATTATTGTTATGTTCTATCTGACCAGGTTTTAATAGACTGGATCAATGATGAGCTGGTGGAGGAGAGGATCATTGTGAAGGATCTGGCTGAAGATCTCTATGATGGACAAGTGTTGCAGAAGCTCTTTGGTAAGGTATTGGCATTGATATCAACAGTGAGGTAAAGGACAGAGATATTGGGTTTGGGACAGGGCAGTGCCATGGTCTATATAAAATAGCTCTGGTCAGGTGGACAATTTTGACATCTGATTGCCATTGAGCCTGGAAAAAAATTGGATGGAAGCTTAGAAAGTTTAGACAAGTTTTGTTGTCTGCACTGTGTGTTTTGCAGGGTATTTGTTACTTGAGGAAGTCTGGGAGGGGAGGCAGCCAATGTCCTTGAGGGGAGAGTTGATTGAGATGAATGTGCTTTCTTGTGACTCCTACCACTGTGAAGAGACCCATTAGTGCAAGGCTTTATAAGACAGAAGACCTGACAGAAATCTATCGTCTGATGCCTTGCAATGTCACCGGCTGTGTGCAGATCCTTCTCTCCGAATACTCTGAAGTGAAAAGTGGAGGCAAAGTTGAAGCTGAAGTCAAATATTTATTGATTTATCTCCTGTGAGCACTTTGTTTTGTCACAGCTTGACAGCACGTGATGTAAAAAGATGACAGAGCCAGCTTTCCCTTCATACGATAACAACAACAACTTGTGCTTTTATAGCGCCCTTCACACGGGATACCACTCCAATTAGTTGCTGTTTAAGAGCTACATGCATGGGAACTGCTTCTTTAGTCTCCATTTTCCATAGTCAAACGACTCTCGCTCATTAAGTGCTACCAGGATTGAATGGCATGTATATGTCCGGTCGCTAACTTCCAAACATTCGCACAACTCATCAAAACAAAAGGGTCATTAAAATATATATAATATATATACACACACACATAGGATTTATCAAGAAAAATAGTTTTTTTCAGACATAATAAAAAAAAATTCCAATTAAAAAAAAAAAGGAGGAGGTGACCAAAAGGGTGAGGTTGAAAAGAGAGATCTTAAGGCAGGCTTTAATGGTGGGAGTGAGGATGAATTGAGGGTGGAGTCGGCGTAGATTTGCTGATGTTGACTCAAAACGGCAGGTAGGATGGAGGGAGCGGGGAGGCGAGAGGCAGACTAGCATTCGCTGAGTGAAGGGACTGTTTAATTTATGCTCTTCGGGTCTTCTGGATGCATGATGTTATTGTATTTTCTCTTATTATGTGTGAATTGTAAAGCCCTTATACACTGACCTGGTTTCTCTTGGTTTCACCTGCAGAGAAGCTGGAGGGTGAGAAACTGAACGTAGCTGAAGTGACACAATCAGAGATTGCTCAGAAGCAGAAATTACAAACTGTTCTTGAAAAAATCAATGAAACACTTAAGCTGCCTCCCCGAAGCATCAAATGGGACGTCGACAGTAAGTTTGAATCGAGGAGAGCAGAACCGCTAATTTATTCTTAAATCTAAACACCAAATTCACCCCCACTTTCTCATTAGAAGGCACCTTGACTCAGGTTATTTGAAGTGCACAGGTTATTGATGGTCCTTGCATTTGATATAATGCCTTATTCATGTCATCGAGACGTCTCAAACACTTCACAGAATATACTGTAAAGTGAATTGACTGTGCATTTTGTGAATGAATTGCAGAGCTAATTGTATTTAATAATTAATAGGTTACTCTTCTTAAGGGCCAATCTAAGAGCTAGTTTGCACTTTGCCTCTTCTCTTCCCATGTGTTGTATTTCTTATATACTGTGTGTGAATATATACATAGGCATCTTATCCATTGTGCTTTTTCTCTTGTATTTAGCAGTGAGGCTATGAATCTCTCTGCTTTCACCCCCCAATTTTGCCTTGTTCATGCCAAGTTTCACACACCCTTTCTGAGCTGAGGAGAGTGGTCAGCGACTAAACAGGTCTCGAGACACCGGACATTTTCCAGCGAAGAGGAGGGGGGCACGGGTGATAGTGATGAGCAGAACCCTGCTGATTATTTCCTCTCTCACTAACCCAGGACCATTTTAGCACTAACCCTAGAGTTGGAAGCAGTAGTGTTTGGGTCACACCCAGTTAGGGGCCACTTAAATCTTTCGCCTTTTGATGTTGATGACATGGCGCCCTGTGTCAAGCTCTCCACTTGGGAAGGGGAGGGGGTGGGGGAGAGGGCAGGGTTGGGGAATGGAGTTTCTCTTGGGCTGCACTCTGTCTGAAGCCCTGTGAGCCAGAGACCATTTGCCGTTCTCGCTGTACAATAATGTGTTGCTCAGCTGCAGTTGCTGCTGAAACATGCGGTGTCTCTTCAGCATGTTTGGATATCTGGATGGGACACAGTCACTAATGGTATGGTTTGTGTATGTGTTTCAGGTGTTCACGTAAAGAGCTTGGTGGCCATTCTTCACTTGCTGGTCGCTGTCTCCCAGTACTTCAGGGCACCGATCAGGCTTCCAGATCACGTGTCCGTCCAGGTGGTGGTGGTTCAGGTAAAAGACCGCACTGGGCAGGGGGTGAGGTGGGGGTGGCGTAGAAAAAAAATCTATTGTTTTGTAGAGTTACTTTGGAATGACGAATATTTCAGAAAACTTTTTTGGGGTTAGCCGGGTGTCTGACACCTGCGGAAACCCATCACTGTGCTTAAGAGTCTCCAAACTAAGCTGAGAATTCCATCCCTCCCACCGTAAACATGGAAATCCCAGAGAAAGATCATTGGAATGGAATGTGCATTCTCTCTCTAGAGGGACATCCTAGTTACCTTAAATCTAGAGAGTATTAGGCACTAGTTGGCAAGAGCCAAGGCTTGGAGGAGCCCAGCATATTTTGAACATCTTCACTTCTCCTCTCCTCCTTCTCCCGCGTCATGTATTATTCTGTGCCGGTGACTGGGTAACTAGTTCCCTGTCTGGGAAGCCCACGTGGGTGACTGGTTACCTTCTGATGGAGGTTTTGGAAGGAATCTTGATAAACCGTATTATATCTAAGGTTTAATCATAGACTGCCTTTGTGTTATTGCTCTTTCACAGTAAAAGACCCATTAATAAGGCCAATGATCTTCAGATGATGGCTGGTTCAGTTTATAAGCAGAGTTATCTTCTATTACAGCTGGAGGGAAGAACAGTGCAATCACAGGAAATTCCAGAAAAACGTAGTGTTTAGAAAGTCTGGTTGAGTGAGAAAGAACCTGGGAATGTTGTTGTAGAAATCTGAACCCACTCAGTATTTGCTAAGCAAAACAAATGGTGCTGGCAACGGGTTGATGTTGCTGCAGCAGAACTGAGGCTCAAGCTCATTTTCATCGCTATCTGATGTCACCCTCCATGGGTTCGAGTTTGTGATGTGTGTATTTTTTGTTTTCCACAGAAACGAGAGAGGGTTCTGCAGTCTCGCCACATCCAAGAGGAAATCACTGGCAACACTGAGTATGTCAACTTGGTTGTTCTTCAGTGGTTGTGTAATGGGATACAGCTGTAGGGGTTGTAACTTGATCATTAATGCATGTTTACTAACTGGATGAAGAGGTCTCAAAGCACAGTAGTTGTGAAGGATCCAAGGAAAACAGTGTTGCTTGTGCTCTAGTTCTTATAATTTACTCAAGCAAGATGGAGTTGTTATAATCACTTTGTGATTTCCTCTTAGAAAGAGGACATTAGATTTGAGCCATGCTTGTCCCACCATCAACTCCACTTCAGTTTACCTCCCCTTTCCCCATTCCCTTCTGTACCTTCAATCTTTGTGCACTTTAGCTTGTTTTATATGAGCGGAATAGTTTTATATGAGGGCTGTTTCATAATGCGGCTGTTAAAACTGCAGCAAAACTAGCTTGTCAGCCTTCCCAATAAAGAGGTTTGTTTGTCAATCTAGTTATTTCTGTAATTACTGACAACCTGGCTAATTGTAATGAGTTCAGAGCAAAAATTGGTTCATTCCAATGATAAGACTGTGTAAATAATATATGTGTACTGAATCAAACAAAAGCTTGTTCACAGTGCAGGATGCAGGATAACTGTTGAGTGTTTAAATGTTGTTTTGTTCTATCTTTTATCACAGGGCCTTGTCGGGAAGGCACGGTAAGTGATGTGACTTGCTGGTGGGTCATTGCTCTACCTCTGTATCATTGCTCTTGCTCTGTCAGTGATCAATTGCTTTTTGTACTTTGTATTTAAGTATCACCCATGAGGATTGCATGTTAACACTACTGTATTATCGTGCTCTGGTGGCTAAACACAGTAAACTCTTTGTTACACCTTTGGGAACAATAGGAAACCGCACTGTAAAGACTATGGAAAATCCCCGACTAAAGATAAAGGGGGAATGATAACTAACACAGCCATCAGTGTCAGACCCCAATGAGGTTATATCACTATAGCCACTAATGCTGAGCTTTGTTCTCCAGTCAGCAATGATATTTTTTGCATATAGTTGGATATAGTTTGAATACAGTTGATATTTTTCTGTATAGTTGCAGTGTTGACGAGACTGAAAAAGTGTTTCTAAAGTGATAAACCCAGAAAAGGAAGATCTGGGTGTATTTTACTGTTTATCCTGCCCTTTCATCCTGTCTTCACAATGGGGCTTCCCATTGTCATCACCGTGGTGCTGTATCTGAACCAGATATTTCTAACTGTTTCAGTGTTGCAGAGAAGTCCGTGGGTGAAGTTTGTCCTTGTGATGTGTGACCAGTGCTGTATCCTGTGTGCTCAGTGTGTGATTGTTCCATCTCTTTCAGAACGCGATGCCTTTGACACCCTGTTTGACCACGCCCCAGACAAGCTCAGTGTCGTGAAAAAGGTTTGATTGAAATGGTTTTCTCTGACCATCTATGCAATGACGAGGCCTGTGTAACAGACAGACTGACGTCTGCTTAGGCTTTTCAGAGGAATGAGAAGCAAGAAAATGCTGAAAATGTACTTACAATTGTGAAACTAATCTCGTGGTCTACCAACAAGGTGTGCTATCTGGTGCAGTGGGGTGGGGGTAGTGGGGGGGGAGTTAGTATCAAAGTATCCAGCTACCAGTGGCACAGGCATGAAGGTCAAGTAGCCTCCTCCTGAGCTCTACATGTAGGAGCCTGATGTCTGTGACCACATCACTTATCGACAGCCAGCCTGAGACATCCTCCTCCTCCTTAGCCCAGAATGGATTGAGGTTGTCCTGTCTCCAGCCTCACCAGGAATCGGTCCATGGCTTGTAGGAGACCCCCCCCCCAGTGACTGTCAGATGGTTGTTCATTTCCAAAGCGCTCTATTTAAAGAGAACCATTGGTTTCTTTCCGCAGACGCTGATTACGTTTGTTAATAAGCATCTGAACAAATTAAATCTGGAAGTTACGGAGCTGGAGACTCAGGCAAGTAAACAGTTACAGTCAGCGCTGAGATTGACCCAGACGCGGGGGGTGAGATATCAGCCAATGGGAGAGGCTCTGTGTAGACAGGCTCTGTGAGAGTTGGCCCTGTTCTGGTGGTGGGGGGTGAAGGGGGCGTGGGAGAGCCAGGTGAGAGATGTTTTCTTTTGTATTTGGTTCCACTGTATATGCATTCAGCGTACAGCGAAAGTACGTGCATTAATGTTTGGATTCCTCTCTCCCTTACAGTTTGCTGATGGCGTCTACCTGGTACTGCTCATGGGGCTTGTGGAAGATTACTTTGTGCCTTTGCACAACTTCTATCTGACCCCAGACAGCTTTGAACACAAGGTAACTGAGTCAGGCTGAGTGTTCGTTGCTTCCACAGAAAGGCGCATCAGAACTGTGGCTTCGAACAGATATAGCTTGTAGAGAAACATCTTTCAGCGGGGACATGTTCTGAACATGACCTTATTTTAAAAGATATTCTCTAAGGACTTTTACTTTATATAAATGTATATTTTTTTCAATAACATAACCTACAATGTGCTAATACTGTTTCCACATCAGGTCCACAATGTGTCCTTTGCGTTTGAGCTAATGCAGGATGGGGGTCTGGAGAAACCAAAACCGCGACCGGAAGGTACATTTACCTGCCTCGTCAAAATCTTATTCACTTGTCATGTGCATCCATCTCTCGTTTGGAAGCGGATGTGATATTTTAGTTTAGTTTAATTTACACAAAAGGTTTGATGTGGGCTGAAAGCTTTCTGTAAAGTCCCGAACTCCAGCCCAGACTCCAGTGTGTAGTATGATCACACAGCAGCTGCAACCAAATTATTTACTCTCGGATGTATCAGAAACATTATCGGCCGGGAAATGCGACGGACGTCGCTTGAAGCTCGATGGGCGTAGACAGCACACACGGGGTTAAACGCTCTTCCTTTTGATCCGGCTGGCATTTTGCCCACAAATTTGACAGTCAATTCACTTTACAGTGTATCCTATGAAGCGGTTTGAGACGTCTCGAAGGCGCTGTACCAAACGCGAAAGGAATATTATTAGGGCAACATTCACTGTCCAACAATTTGACCTTTGCCTGGGAAACCAGCTGGTCTTCATGGGATGATCCCTCCCCCCCCCAGAGTCTGGCTCCTCACTGCGTCGAGCCTTATGACCCAATGGGAATTGGGATAACAGCTTGAGGTGAACCGTGGCCTTGAAGCCCTTCGCCGAGCCCCTGAAACAATAATCTTTCTTAGCAAATATTTTGGAAAGCTGTTTGAAAGGGTGGGGAAGGAGGTGAAAGCAACAAAAGTGCGCAAGACTTTTGTCCCGCACAAAACCCAGAGAGAAATCGAAGCATTCATGAATTCCACAATCGTTGGACAAAGCAGTGTTAACAAGCCAGTATTCGGCGGCGAGTCCAAATCGATAAGCTATTATACACAGAGCAAGCTGTGCAGAGTGTGATCAACACACTGCAGTAAAGCACAGCCTTGAAGGCTTGGGGACACAGCAGCCTGACACCTGTCAAGGTCACTCAAACCTCTGAGCAGTTTCACATTATTGTCTTCGGACACGGATATGCAGCCGGAGAAAATGAGAATGGCCTGTGAGTGTGAAAGGCAAAGGCAGAGTCCAGCAGCGCAGACTGATTTTTAGGATCTGCTGCTGTTACTTCCTCTCCTTTTTCCTGTCCTCGCACCTTAGAGCTTTTCAGTCCCAGGAATTACCCTGATCACTCTTCTCTGAGCCTTCTTCAATGTATCAAGCTGTGAAACCTGAAATTTCACCTTGCCTTAGCATGGGATGGTCCAACTTGTGGCCCGCGTGGTGCTTTTGGCCTCCAATCCCTTCCATTTCATCTGGCCTACCCGCTCCCTCCATAATCCGTAAATGTTATGTTTCTGGAAGGGAAGCAAAAATATTGCTTCTGCGGGCACCGGGCATTTCTCAAATAGGGTATCCGGCCCTCGCCAGCCAAAAGGTCGGACCCCCGGCTTAGCTTATGAGATCACTTTGCCTTTAAAATTTAAGATCGGGCACAATTATGGAAAGTTCAGTCTGGTTTTCCTTCGTGTTTTTTTTAAATAGCCGGCTTCCAAATTAAGGTTGTATTGAAGAATAAATTTGCCACAGTTTCTGTGAGGTCTTTAATTTGAGGACAAAATGGCCTTGCCTTGCAGGCTTGGTCCAGCCAAGGGGGGCTCCTAAAATTGTGGACCACAATACAAATGTGGCTTTCAGGAGTGATCTGGTTTAGATTAGAATAACTTCCTTCAACCCACAAACAAATGGCCCTGAGACACTGTGACCCAGTATTTGATGAGGTCAGTTTAATAGTTGCTCAATTTATAAAGTTAACTTGGGACAAAAGATTCTCATGAGAACTCTAATAATAATAATAATAATGATGGTTGTACATTGTTCCTGATCTGAGCCTATTTTCTTTGTAGATATCGTGAACTGCGATCTGAAGTCCACACTGCGGGTGCTCTACAATCTGTTCACTAAATACAGGAACGTGGAATAATGGGGAAGCTTGACAGCTCTCAGCAGAGACATTATTAGCTGGGACCAGACTGACTGTATCTAAAGGAATTCGGCACAATGGAGCAATCTGTACTGCACTGCCGTACACTCTCATTCCACGGGGTCCACATTATGGCCAAGGTTCTTATTGATTGGGAAACAATTGTACACTCCAAGGGTAAAAAAAAAACATACTGGATGCTCAGAAATCTAAGGCTTCTGTTGCTGTGGGGCAATTTTGCTATGTTTGTGAGTTTGTGGCATAAAGGAATTCAAGCCATTTGCCGTAGACATAACACGAGGTTTACAGAAGACGTGCATGTGGCAAATATTGAAAGATAAACTGAAAGAGTTCACAAATGCATTTTTGTGGCTGAATTCCACCCGTGCACCCCCCTCCCCCCCCCACCCACCCACCAACACCAACCCCTACAGGACCGTCCCAGATTACGGAAGCTATAGACAATTTACGTGCCTAGTTTCAGCAAATGCCACCCGACTTACTGGAAAACATAACACCCTGGTCCTGACTTTGGATTCTTATAATAATTTTAAATAATCCTTATGTTTGATATAGCACCTTTTACTTCAGAAGTGTGTCTCAAAGCAGTTTACTGGAAAGTGTAGTGACTGTGTATGTTGGAGGCAGCAAATTTTGTGCACAAACAGTAATGGAAGTGAATGACCAGTTTTTTTTAAAATCTTCTTTTGTTGTTGCCCAGGACTTTCCTCTCTGTTTCAGAGGTGCCATGGAATCTTTAACTCCAGCGTGGCATTAGAGTGTCAGCCGAGATTGTGAGAGCTCAAAGTCCCGACATGGGAGCTTGAATCCACAACCTTATGACTCAGAGGAGAGAGTGCTACCAACTGAGCCGGGCTGACCTGGATGTGTGCATGGAATCAAGGAGTCCCATCACCTTGTTCAATGCATTTGGTGCTTTTATATATGTTTTTAAAAAAATTATTGTTTGATTTGTGAAGTCCAAACCTGGGAAAAACAACAACTTGGATTTATATAGCGTCCTACAAGTGGGTCAACATCTCATGGCCTTGGCAAACCATGTGAAAAACTTAAAATGTATCGTGAGGACAACTCAAAGCGCTTAACAATGTTGGGTGGCCTACCGAGCTGGGGGTGGGGGCCACGGGGGGGGTGAGGGGGGTGGGAGCCGCGGGGGGGACGGGGACCACTGACAGCGTATATTTTGAGATGTGAGAAAGTGGGGTGGGAGGGGAAGAGAATTGAGCTTTCACAAATCCAGTTGTGGTCAGGCGATTCTACACGACCTGCTGAGACAAACAGTGCCTTCACACAATGCCATCTTCCGCACTTTCTTGCTATAGCCTAGCCTCACCTGAGCACGTCACAAGACGGATGCCTCTGTCTCTCCCGGCTCTGGCTACAAAATATTTCCAAACATTTTTCATACCTCTTTTAATAATGCACAAGCAATATCATAACTGCCTTATGTTGGGCAATTATGGTTTATTGGGTGAAATGCAAACATTCAGCACTTATGAAGACCAGAGCATTTGACAATAATGTAGAATAATGGATAGCTGGGGGTGGGCAGCGATGCAGTAACATAATAAAGAGGCGCGCATGACATTCTAAACCAGAGAGCCAAGCTTCGGTGGTTTATGTGAGTCATCTGATCCTAAGATTGCGTTAGTGCCATAGGCACTTGAAACAGACTGATGGAGAGTGAGGGGGAAGGGAGTCAGATAGGGCCAAATGCCAGATTAAGATTGAAGATGATCACTTACCTGCCTTGCAGGGCTTCCAGCGAGAAGATAGAGCTGAGGTGTTCACCTCCAAACTCGCACTTTTAAAACTAAAGCTATTTATTGACCTGTTGAACTGCAGTTGCTGAATTAAACATGAGAATAAGAGACAAAATGGGGAACAATTAGGTCTTGTGTTCTGTCCCAAGGAAGAGAATGGTGGCGAGGGGCGGGGGGGATAATGATTCATACAGTGATTGTCTTTAACGTAATTTGAGATTGTTGTGTACTTTTTCCTCAGACACTTGCTAAGTGACCACTGAGAACATTGAGAGATACAAACTCCGTCCAGGGTTGCTACCTTTGGTAGTGGGTGACGTTAATGGGCCCTCCCATTAGCGTGTCTTACCATAATAATAACAAGCCTTACATTTGATACAGCGCCTCTTGCGAGGACGTCTGAAAGTGCTTCACAGGATTCACTGTTTTGTAAGCAAGCGTGGCAATCCAATTAGCCCACAGCATTGCCCTAAAAACAGCCATGACAAGCTCTGTGATGTTAGCCATTGCACGATTCCCCATTACGTGGCTGGTGTTTGCCGGTTGCCAGGCTATTTTGCCCACAGCGAGGCCTCCGATTATTTGTATATATGATCAGAGCCGCGTTAATATAACCCTGAGGACGGCTTCAATCTGCTTAAAGTGAGATCAAAGGTGTTTATGGAAAGTAACTGCTTTAATTACTAATGAAGAACATGCTTGTGCTCTGTTTAAGTATATACATTGTCTCTGTGGCTTTCATTATCAAACTGGCAGCCTGGCTCTCCTGTTACATCCAAGCACTTAATATTTATATTTATCCCACATCCATTTCCTTAGATGTGCAACAGGCTTCAGTTATAGATTAGCAGCATAAAGTAAGTTCTTCCACTTCTGAAGATATTTGGACTATAGATGCTAATGAATGCCTGATTGTCTCCTTCTCCCCCCCCCCTCCCCACCACACACACATTTAATATTTCAACAACTGCCTCTGAAGTCTAAAGCTATGAATGAGATTCTGAGCTGTCGGAGGCGGTGGGGTGGGGTGGAAGATAGGATTTTAAAAAAGTCAACTCAAGCTGTTTCCATTTCTAGCTGTTTCCAATGTCCTGCAGTCCAGGGCGAGTGGCCTGTCCCGCCAGCGTGCACTGCTGTTGGCCTCGGTGTGCAGCATTGGGCTCAGTGTAGCTTCTCACCGTCCGCTTATTTACTCTCCCGATATTGTAGTTGCAGTTGGTTGGACATAGTTTCGGGATCTTGTTGGAGGTTTAGAGCACATTTTACTGTTTGCCCTCAAGCAGCTTGAAGTTAAACACACTTCCGCTTCACCTGTCGGGTGTTTCAGTGACTCGGTACTGAATATGTGTGTATAATACTTAGTGATTGTATTTTTCATACCGTATATGTATATATATATATATATAATACCCAGTAAGATTAACAATCCATTCAAGTGTGTGGTCCAGTAAATCATTTGCAAATCCGTGCAGACTTGTGGGTGATTGGTTTTCTTACACAATTCATTCTTTAATTTTAATATTGAATCACACGGTTAGTTCCTCCTCCGTCTGTCAATGTTTCCTCTTGTGCTGTCCATGCTGTTACCTGGGGTGATGGGAACAAGTGACACATAGCGCAACCACTCGGGGCTTCAGTGATGGGGAGGGCCTGGGGTGGAAGGGGTTAGAGTAGGTGCTCAGCAGGCTTCATGTCACAGAACCATACAATCTTACAGCACAGGAGGAAGCCATTCAGCCCATTGTGCCTGTGCCAGCTCTTTGAGAGAGCATGCAACCAATACTACTACTACCAGCACTCTTACCCCATAGCCCCAGGCCCCCACTCTTACCCCATAGCTCCAGGCCCCCACTCTTACCCCATAGTCCTGCACATTTTTCCTTTTGCAGTTACCCAATCAATTCTCCTTTGAAAGCTACTATGGAGCAACGACTGTCTGAGGAGAATTGGGGGGAAATGCAGTGTTTGACAATAACTGGGAATTGAGAGCTGGTTGTTGCCCTGATCAGCAGGGGATGTGATCCACATCCAGTATCCACGTGCCTGCTGAGAGCCCAAACCAGCACCTTGTCAGACCCACAGACCTATAGCCCGGGGTGGGGGGGGGTAGAAAGCTAAGTTTTAGGTTTATCATTTGAAATCAATGGTAAGAGTGCTGTTGCCCTGATGCTCCAGTATTACTCTGAGTGGATTACTGGGTGGCCACTTGACTCTGGGTGCTATTGTGTGGGTTAGTATTTCAGTGCTGTTGTTCTGCGTTTTCGATGGCATTTTTCCAAAGGATTCTAAAATGTGCTCTCCAAAGTCACTCATTATACATGCTCAGTTATGTATTAGACCCTAGCAACAGCATTCTGAGCGAGAGGCTTGCATTGCACGGTTGCCCGTGGAAGACAAGAGCTTTTACCATCTGCGTCATAACTTTAGTCGAGTGAATGTTTTTGATGCAGTTCAGCAGATGTAAAATGCTGGAGCCGGTCTTGTTCAAATGAGAATCAAATGATTGTGAACAAATAGTGCAAAAAAAAGCCTCAAACCAATTGCTTTATTCATATATGCTATATAAAAAAATACAAATGTCACGATTTGAAGTGACCAGATATGAACGGTTTGTTTACTGGGTGAAATTAAACTGTGTGAATGAGATGATCATTGACGGCTGCTTGTGAAGGCTGTTACACAAGTATTTGGCTGGTTTCCGTGTGCATCAGGATGTTCATTTCCACTAATCCGTTATGTGCCGTCTTTCCCTGACTGAGACCATAGTGGAAAATGGGGTGGGGCGGTGGGATAAAGAGAGACCAGAGGAAATGATGCAATTGGAATTGGAGATGTTCCAGGTGGAAGTGAAATGACTGAAAAAAACATCTGGAAACGTTGGAATCAGTGGAAAGAAACGTCCTGACGACTGACAGAAATGAGTTGCTTCCTGATTCATTCTGGGTCTTGCCGTGTGTTTAATCAAAGGTTCCAGTAGCTCTAATGGTGCAGCTTCTGTTTCATTTTTATTTTTTAAAAAGCTTTGAACGTGTTTAATCCAAACTACCAAAGATGTAGCTCCAGATGCTTTGTTCCAATTTCTCAGCAGATGTGTACAGATTTAGGCAAATATGATTTGCGAAAAATAGCTACTTTGCAGAAATATTTTTTCTATTACTGTATTTACTTTTTTTAAATACTATATCTGAAACACTTATTAATTTTTTTTGTATTTTTGCACACCTCCAGCATTTATGAATTTTGTCACTGCTTGTTACGGTCACAGTATATCTGCAAAATTCCTGTCATGAAATGTCTTTCGTTAAATAAAAAATATTTATATTAAAAGCCGATCTACTTTGCCATTCTGTGTGTGGGGTTGTACTTTCACTGTTAATGTTTAGCTGGTTTGTCACCTCCACTCTTGAAAGCATTGCATTCTTATAAAATAATAATGATATTTACATTTAATATACAGCCTGCATTTATACAGCACCTTTCAGATGGGCTAACGATTCAAAAAGGCAAAGTGCTTCACAGGATGTAGTGTGAAGTGGAGTAGCTGTATTTGTAGGCAAACGCGGCAGCACAATTGCGCGCAGCCATGTCTCACAAACAGTTACGTTACGAGTGAACAATTTTATTTGGGGGAATTGTTGGCCAGGACCTTGGGAGTGAGAAACTCCTCTTTTTGAATAGTGCCATGGAATTTTAATGTCTACATGAACAGGCTGACAGGACCTCGGTTTAACGCCTCATCTGAAGGACGGCATCTTGGAAAAAGTAAACACCCCAGCCCCCCTCCCACCGCCATACCCAGCGCTGTAT